GTGGGAGGCTCAGGAAAGGGCACATTCCGAGTCGGGTGGGGAGGGGCTGCAGATCCATCTCCCCCGTGCGCCCAGGCCGCGCGGGCACCCCCAGCCCCGGGCGCTCAGCTGGTCTCTGCGGAAGAAAGACTTCGCCCGGCTGCTGCAGAGGCGGCCCGAGTGCTGGGGGAGGGGCTGGCACTGCCAGGCTGAGTGCAGCCAGCCTCCCTCTGCCTATCTACCCACCTGGGGGAGGGTGCATAATAGTGTGGCCTGGAAGGGACGGGGCGCCGACCGCCCGGCCCATGCCAGGTCATCACGTTCTGGGAGAATCTGCCTTTTGGCTTCTGCTGGGGGCAGTTGGGGGCCTGGGGCTGCAGTGATGGAGGGGGAGGGGGCTGGGGGTTGGAGGAGAGACGCTGCAGGATCTGGTGTGGCGTCTGCAGCGTTCTTGTGCAGCTTGGGGTGGGGTAGGGATGCTGCAGGCCAGGGGAGGCCATGCTCTTACAGCTCCGGGCCCCAGACCTTCTTGCCCCTAGGGCTGCCCTGCGCTGAGTAGCCTCAGCGCCCCCACCCTGCTCCAGAGGACAGATGTCTCCTGCATTCGCTCGGATGGCTAATGAGCACCGGCCAAGGATGGGGCTGCATCCTGAGTCCGGCTGCAGTCAGCGGGGGCTGGGAGAGTTGCTGGGCAGGCTCTGGTCCCCTGCTGTCCTTGGCCCTTGGGAAGGCTCCTGGGCCCCAGAGGCTGCCTCCGGGAGCAGTGAGTCCCATGAACAGAGATGCAGAAAGATGCTCCAGGTCATTCTGGGCTCCAGGGCCCTTCCCAGCATCACCTCTCTTCTTGGGCTGAGGCTGACTTCAGGGCCCAGAAGTTTCAACCGGACAGAGGGCTCCAGGGGCCAGAGACTGTGGCCAGGGGAAAGCATAGGGTGGCCTGGTTACATCTCCACGGTGTGCGGCTCACAGGGAAAGGAGAGGAGGGGCCCAAACCCACAGCAAAGAGATGTGGTCAGAATGACCGGGACCACATGCACTGAGGCACTTCTCCTGGACTGCTCAGCCTGGGCAGTAACGGGGAGATGCTCTGGGCGGGCCTGGGTGTGCAACATGGGCCAAGTCCTGCAGGTCAGTGAGGCCAGAACAAGTTGGGCAGGAGCAAAGGAAGCCAGATATCACGCCTGCCTTTCCAAGGGCCCACATGCCAAGCCCTTCCACCGCAGGCTCAGCCCAGACCCCTGGGAACCAAGGAGGCAGGCCCCCCACCCCGCTGCCTCCCAAGCCCATGGCCTCCCCAGGCTGGGCAGGGGAGTGAAGGCCAGCGTGGGCCCTGCCCTGCTCAATCCTGGATGCCTAGAGGGGAGCAGGTATGTGAGCACTGGGGTCCCTGGTGAGCATAGTTGAGGGAGCTGTGAGCCGATCTGGTGTGAGCACTCGGGTCCCCCGCCTGTGGAGGTCTCTTAGTGTGGCAGTTTCTGCTCCTGGGTCATAGTGAGCTGGATGCCTCAGCATCTCGGGTCGCCTTTGATGGGGTGTATGGTCTGTGCCTCCCTCTACGGCCGGCTTTCCCTGGGAACCTGCCTGTCTGTTCCAGGCACCACGGCTCTGATTAAGAGCCACAGTCCTGTCCTCACCATCCTGATAGCCACCTCTGCAGGTAGTGAGCTCCCCGTCACTAGATAGTGAGCAGAAGGCACCTTGGTGAGGGTGCTGTTGGTTGGCAGTGTCCTGGTTGTGCGTGCACTCAGGGACATGAATGTGCTGTCCGAGGCCATGGGGGCCAACAGTGTGGTATTGTGGAGCTGGCATGGGGGTTTGGGTGTCCTGGGACTTGGGGGGATCTGGCGTGCAGAGGGTGAGCACACATGCATCCAGTGACCACATGTATGTGCACACATTTGCATGTGAGTAGCTGCACATGGCGAGAGTGGGGTGAGGTGCATTGAGGGAAAGGGGTGAGTTCGGGTCCGTATGGTCAGTGTGTCCCAGCAGGCATAGTGGTGTGTGCAGGGTGCCAGGACAGGGAGGGGTCTCCTGCCTCTGGACTGAGAACGGCCTTTGATGGGTGTATGGGCTGTGCCTTCCTCCCACCCACAACCAGGCCCTGGAATAGGAGATGGTGGGTGCTCTCCCCCTCCATTCCCAGGAATGGGGTCTGGGGTGGGTTCTTGAGAGCAGGGAGGCCCAAGACCCTACAATACCTATTTCCTCTACCCACCTGGCCTGTTCTGGCCCCACCCACTGCTCAAGACTGTGCTTAGCTTCTCCACCCCGACCTCCGCTCTGTGCCCAGCTGGGTCCTGACCCGTAGCATCCTTGGGAGGGGAGAGGTAAGCTTTAGCTGCGAGGAGGAGGCCCTGCAGTGAGCGCGCCCTCCTAGGAGGCCAGCTCAAAGCAAGAGGTCTCCTGCAGGAGGGGCTCTGGCCAGACCTCGGTCATTCAAAGGAGGTCTCCAGGGGGTGGGAGCCTGTGCAGGGCGGGTGGTGTCTGGCGAGAAAGGTTAAGACCAAGCCGAGCAGAGTGGGGAGGAGCCTCGTGGGCCCTGGCTGGGGGTGGTCCCAGGCCCTGGCTACTGGGCACCTACAGGGGCGGGGATGGGGGGGAGCAAATGAGGGGGGCCTGCGGCTCTACGGAGGCAGCCTGCTCAGTGGCTGCTGCGGCTTCGGCAGGAGGAGCGGTTGCCTGGCACCTCTGCTGTTGCCATGGTGACAGCAGAGGTGCTAACTGGCTAATGAGTCCTCCTCGGCTGCAAATAACAATACTGTGGTGGTTAATAGAGCTTCCCTGGAAGGCGGGCGGGACCCGGGACCAGGTACCAGCCTGGGGCCGGGCTGCCCACCCCCCGCAGCCCCTGCCTGGCCCTGGTCATTGCCCCTCTCCTCTCTGCCCTCCTCCAGCCTGGATTCCCATCTGCGGGGTGGACACCTCCGCATCCTGCTCCTCTCGGGGTGGTTCAAGGCCCCGGGGGCAGTGTGCGTGCAGGCCACTCTCTCCCGGCCCCTTCCCTCCTCCCTGCGCTGGAGTTCAATTTGGCTTTTGTAGTTTTAGGTGGGAGGTAATTGCCCCCACATGCCTGATGGGGACATTGAGTGCCGCGCCCAGGACCCTCTGGCCCACTGTGCCTCCCTCCCACTGTGTCCCTCTCACACAGGGTCCTGGGCCTCTGAGCTGGACCCTTAGTTCCACGTCCAAGGACAGGTGACTGTGCCCAGGCCTGCGCGAGAGGAGGGAGGAGACCTGGTGGCTGTGGCCTGTCACAGCCTTGAAGGGATTCAGGTTAGAGCTCAGAAGCTTTCCAAACCTGCTTGTAATCAAACTCCCCCCCCCCCCC